TGAGCCAAATGCAATTTTTCTGCACCAGGGACAGAAAAACCATGGGGCAAAAACACAGGCAGGGGACTGTTTGACTTTTTTGCAGAAAAGGGTCTAGGTTCCTCATGGACAAAGAGCTGAACATGGCTCAGCAGCACCCAATCACAACAGCGAAGGTTAATTTCATCCCAGATCCACGTTATTAGAACTGCAGCCAGCAGGTCCAGAGAAGTGATTATCATCCCTTGTGAGACTATATTTAGAGCACTTTGTCCAGTTCAGGGCTCCTCTGCAGAAGAGGCACTGGCATATTGGAGCAAGTTCAGCAGAGAGTCCCTCTGATGATTTGGAGACTGCAGCACATGGATGAGGGTGACAGATGAATTTGCTGAGTCTCAAGAAAGCTGAGGGAGAATTCTCTTTGGTGCCTTCAGCTTTGCAGTAGCAGGTTATAAAGATGCAGCCAGAGCTGCATCACCAGAGATGCACAGCAAAATGACAAGAAGCAAGAGCTGAATTTCATCAAAATAAGTTCTGACTTGACACAAGAAAAAATCCCTCACAGTGAGGGTGGCCAACCATTGGAGAACAGGCTGTCCAGGGAAACTGTCATATCCTTCCTTGGTAATAACTGGAGCTCAGCTGCCCTAGGCCCTCAGCAGCTTAATGCAACTTCAAAGCCACTGTTTTGTCAGCCTCCAGAGGTCTCTTTCAATCTCAGTTATTCTAGGATTCCACTATTCTCCCTTCCCTTGCTGTTCTAGTTTTGTTAAACAGTGCTCTCTGTTCCTCTCCTTTGGATACTTCTGTTCTTCACATGTGTAATATATTGTCCTGTTCTAATTCACAATGTATAGTTCTGGGAGGAAGCAGAACTCTCCATAATCACTTGTAACAAACCAGCTATAAAATGAGTGATGACAACAGATGTTAAAGAATTAAGTAAATAGTTTAAATGTAAACAGCAAAAAATGCATTACAGACCATCTTCAGAAACACTTTCCCATTTAGTATTAAAATACTGTTAGCTATGTTTTGGTATTTAAGAGGACTGAGGGAAAACACATTCATTTAAAGAAATAATTAAAAACACAGCACAACAGTTCAGAAATTGGATTAAGCTAGATGCAGCTGCAGTCTTCAAACTTAGTTTAGACCAAATTTGAATATCTGCAACTGAAACTTTCAATAATCATATAATATATATAATCATGCCATTGACCCTCCTTCCCCTGTCCCTTTTCTTTTTGGTCACTGAAGACCATAGAAAGTATCAGAGCTCCAAGTCAAGAACAACTCCCTTGTAACAACGACTCTGACACTGATACAGCGAGAGCAGATTGCCTGCAAGGAAACAAGAATAAACTGGCTATTTAGAGAGATTATGTAATGCAGCACGGAACTGTAAAATGGGATTTAAAGAGACATCACTCTGCTTTTCAGCTCTGGAAGTAAGTGTTGACCAATACTGTAGAAATTTGAAGAGGCTCAGGAACAGAGGAAGATGTCTTGTCAAAGAGTCTCCCCTCTGAACTGGTATTTTACTCATAATTCTTCTTTTTCAGAAAATCAGTAGTATTTCGCTATTTTGCCATATCCCTTCAAACAAAGTTGAAGCTGAAACACCACATCATCTCACAGGTGTGCAGGTTTTTACTACAAAAATGAGGTCTGTAGGTACAGACACAAAGCATTTTGTGGGCCTGAGCTTGTTGAACTTGTGGAGCTTCATACACTCAATTAGCACAGTACTGCACTCTGAAAATCAAAGTGATTATGAACAAATACAACAGTATTAAATCTTCTCCGCATAAATATTTTAGCAAGTGTAAACAAGACTCCAGTTTCTGTAAGCAGCCATTCCCAAACACACACAAACATCAGCTGGTTCAGAAAAGAAAGGGAGAAACTGAACAGCCATGCCCTCCTGCATTATAAATAGTGAGGAAAGGTACAGCAAAGGCATGTGTGGTAAGGGAGACTAGTTCTGTGTAATGGACATTCTTACACAAACCTGAAAACTACAAAATGTTCAGGGTTTGCCCATGGCTTTGTTTAGAGCATAAATATACGTATTTATAAAAACATCAATGCACACCATAATTTTGTAGAAGAGTCCAGAACAGACGAGCAGTTGCTGGGAGATTTTACTTTGCGTTTCTTCATTTTTGAATGCATGAAAAAAAAGTTATTACCTTAAGCATTCTAATGCAAAACTGTTCTTCATCTAATTCTAAACATCCTTTCATTAAAAGCCTCAAAAAACAGCAGCATCATACACTCAGCCAAGCCCAGCTGCTTTGCTGGTAATTAAGTAAGAGACACTGAGTCCAGATCACCTCCCTTCCACCTCCCCTGGAAAGACAGACTTTACAGTAAAGAAGAATTTGGCCCAAATTACATGGGGAAGGAGTGGGGGGAAGGAGGGATATCAGGGGGAGGTGGTTGTTTTTTAAAACCCAGCAAGTCCCTGCTCCACGGCTGGACTTTTCCCTGCAGGTTGCTGGCAAGCAGAGCAGACGCAGAGCGAGACCTGCCAGCGCTCTCGGACCACACACGGGCTCTCAGCTGCTCTCCAGCACTCTGGGGACTTCATCCACAGCCCATCCCTGCTTCCCAGGGCCTGGCTCTTCCCTTCAGCAGGAGCACTGACAGTACAGGAGAGAAGGCAGCAGCAGCATTCCTGATGTTAGAGCCACCAATGGCCACCCTCGCAGGCTGTCCTGTGCCAGCATCCCCGCGGGAGCGAGTTCAGCACTTCACCTGCAGCACAGTTAACTTTGGAAGTGCCAACATAGTGGCACCAGCAAATAAATAAGTAGTTCTGCATTTTTTATAACTGCTCATTTTTCATACAGCCAACTACCAGTGCACTTCAGTTTCATTCAATGAACAACTCCATACCTGTCCTTTAAAATACGTCCAATAATTTCATTTACCTTGCTACATTTTCATGTCTGACCATGATGGATATTTAACATAATTTCACCCCAAAAAAAGCCATGATCATGGGCCCACAGTGACAGGGTGAGATTTTGTAAGCTCATTGCCATAGCTCAATTTGCAATTAAAAACTATGTAAAGCCAGAAGTGTGATTAAAAGCAGCAGACAACCGGCTCATTATTCAGCAACAGAAAAGAAAAGCCTTTCAAACACCAATTGCTCTACCTGAAATATCAGCTGCTGTTGTCATGCCTGGGACTGAGCAAGAACATTACTTAGCTCACTGAAAAGAACTTTCCCAGAGATAGATTGGCAGCATGACAAAGGCAGGTCGGCTACACAAATCAAAGACCAAATACTTGCTCCTTATATAAAGGATAGACACTGGAAAAAAAATAGAAGAAAACCTGCAAAGGGCTTCAGAGAGGTGTAACTAAAAAGACAAATTATTTTCCTGTTTCAAGACTGTTTAGGAGATAAGTTCATGTAAAGCAACTAAATGTTTTTGTATACAATGCTGATATACTTTAGCCAAGTCACAATCATTGTTTTTGATCAGGGAGGCCCCCCACACAAAAGCTCCGGGGAAGGAAGATGCTCAGACATATTCCCCAGCAAACACTCATCCAAGAAAAAAGCTGTGTTTAGATTCTAAAAAAACGCCCACACTGTCTTTACTTGTGATTACCTTTTGGCACAACCAAAAGGGCTTTTGAAGGATTCAAACACTCCACGAAGCAACAAGACAGATTTCCTTCCATCAGCATTTTACTTTCCTACAATTACAGACAACTGTGAAGTTCTTATGCACAAAAAGCCAATTTATTTTTAAAATGCCTGTTCAAAATTACAGTTTTGATTAAAGTGCCTTAATCCAAAACCAGACTTCATTAATTTTAGTGGCTTTATCCCACTGCTTACATAGGTTACATGTTAGACAGGAAATTTAAAATTCCTAAGATAGTAACTTCAGACCTGACACTGACACTAGCTCACCTAAAGTGCAAGCTTTACTTTGCCAAACGAACAGGGCTCAATACTCTTAAGTAAAAACAGCTGAATAAAACATTCTGTATATAAAACAACCTGTATATATATCAGCTGAATAATGCTGAGTAATCTGACTATACTTCAATGACACAGATCAATCTCAGCCTCTCTATACCTGTGAAGATATAATATCAGATCAATCTTACTTTTCATATACATATGAAGGCATAATATAGGCAAGATTTTTTTGTGTTGAGTTGCAAATGTAAGATTAATTTAGGAAAATACCTTTCTCTAAAATATCTCCCCCGAATGAGTACCTTATCATAAAACCCATTTACATCCAATGGTTAATTACATGTCAGCTTCTGAGACTTTGCTATGACAGTCCATCAGCTGTCATCTCCAAGAGTCATGAGACAGGAGTATCAATTAACCAAAAAATGACAACTCCTGTCCCTTGATATGAGCAACAGCAAACTGGAAGACCATTCTGCTCCAGGAATAAAAGGTGGTTTTATTCACCCTCTTTAGAGTGTAGAATATGGTGATCTCAATTAAAATGTAGAGCATGTAATGAGAATATTTATTTTAATCATCTGTGCGCTAAAACCTTTTTTCCATTTTTCCTCTCTCTATTCAATGATCCCATATTAAGCACATGATTACTTATATGCATTATCTCACACTTGCATTTCTTAAGACCAAAAATATTTGAAGAATTATACTTTTAAATAAACATGAATAAAGTATTTCAAGAACCCTGAAAATGGACTAAATAAAAAGCCACAATGGGTTCAGCAGATAATAAAAAGGTGCAATGGGCATGTCAACCTTGAAAAAGCCCTTTTAAACCACAGTAATAGTGGCAGGTGCCATTACCCTTTGTCAGTCAGCTACATGAATTCATAAATCAGGTGTAGCAGCCAAATGAGAGCACAATGAAAAATCAGCACTAAGCAGACTTGTCCACTGAAAAATGAGCGGCCTGCCAAGGTTTTGAGGTCACATTCAAAACTAAAAATTAATTGTATCAACCATATTAATAAAAAGAATTCATATCAGCAAGACTAAAATTTGCTAGTACCGTTCTGTAGAGTTTTTGCTCGTGACTCCTTTCCCAGATTGGCATGGAATCCTCCTCCTAAAGTCGGTGTTTTCCCTGCACCTATTAGGGGAAAAAAAACAAACAACAGACATGTCAAAGAGAATAATTTAATTAAAATATTAAAATAAAACTTATTTTGCCAATATAGTCTGTGTCTGTATCACCTACAATATGCCAAACTACATTAAGAAGGTCTTAAGACATCAAGTACCAACACTGGGCAAATTATTTCTTTCTTGGGGTACATTACATGGCTCCATAAGCCCTCCCAATCTCAGTTCCAAAGAAACTACAAAAATCTCCCAATATCTATTTTAAGCAGAACATGAAAATCAGTACTGTAAAACATTTCTCAAAATAAAGGAGGAAAAAATTGCTTGGTTAGTATTTTTGTCTGAAGAATATTCAATGAAGAATTTACAGAATTTTAATAGGTAATTATTGGCATTACAGAACATGAAACATGTTTAGCATTCAATAATGACTGAGTTGGCTACTACAGACGTAACACTTATTTTAAAGTAACTTCAGTTTGTCATTAGGTAAACACAGCAACACTTGGGCTACAAAAACTGCAAGTCTGGAACTGCTACTTTTACACCCTGAAAGGTTGGAGACTTAAAAGCTGTAAATCAGCATAAACTAGAGGCTGGTTTGGGCATCCATGCCAATGCTGAGCAGCCTGAATGCAGAGATTGCTGAGAGTCAGTGGAACTACTCATGCAAACCAACCTAGCAGAACAGGGAATTAAACTACCAAGGACAAAAATAGTCTCCCACTAAACCAGGAAGGTTTTTTTAAAAACAATCAGGGTACCTCAAGCAGGATATCTGAATCTGTCAGCTTAACAGCAAGTGAGACCAAAAAGCTAAATTGCACAGGATTGAAAACAAGCAATTTGTTAGTAATGGACTTCTACTTAATTCCAGTAGTCTGTTCTCCAGGATAGGGGAAAAAGCCATCTTGTTATCTATGATGCCTACAGCTTTTCCTCAAGTTCTTGTGGCTGTTTCCTCGTCTCAGACTAGCTCTTCAGAACAAACTAGAAAGGCTTTGGGGTAGACACAGAGAGGGGAATAAAGTCGCTCTTTAAAGCAGCTCAGGGCATTTCTTGAACACACCTGAATAAGATACTTCCATGGCAGGTACAACTGATGAGAAACTGTGACCTAAACTGTTCATTCTTACCAGACTTTTTTAGCTCTCGTCTCCTCTCAGTTGCACTTAATGTACATCAGTACTGAGAAAAAAAAAACAACAAAACCAAACAAAACCAAAACCCAGAAAAGCTAATAAGCTAATATTCCTGCAGAATTATTACCAGCCTTCAAAACTTATTTTTCCATATAACCTTTAAATTAGTTTTCCAGTGCTATCCACAACAGAGACCAGCTTCACTTCATTAACACATCCTTTAACAAACAATAATCAGCTCTTTTGGCAGTGCTATCACAGTGCAGCTAGTCTGTAGCTGGACAAGGTAAATCTAGATATAACACAAATCCAATTCAGCTAGCCTGGCTCTTTCCAGAAAAACAGATGAACAGTCCCCAGACAGGCTGGATTCAAACGGACACAGGGGACCCTCAGCCAACCCTGTTCAAGCCTACGTGCAGAAACACCACTGGCCAGAGATCTGGGCAGAGAGAGATCTCAGCTCTGAGCCTGGGAAATGCAAATCCCCTATAAAAAGAAGTTCTGAACAATAAAACACATTGCTTGTCCAAGACACTCGGTGAGTTTGTGCCATCCCTTGTCTCTGACCAACAACCTCACGTAACAAGCTCTCATCTAAATGCCCCACAAATTAAGTGATCTTAATCTAATAATAATCCTAATAAAAAGGGAAAAATATTCAACAGTGATCTCCTCAATGGAGGTGATCACTGGATCCAGGAACACTGGAGGCTGGGAGAGGTAACTCCCCCAACTCTGTGTTCAACTATCAGAGACAGCATCGTCTCCTTGCCATTCTTACAGGTACAGCCTTGTATTTCCACAAACACTTGAAAACAAACTAATGCAGCAAACCAGAGAGAGGTTACCAAGCTACAAAAGAAGGCATAACATTTTTTGTGTACATTTAGTGAGAATGGTTTATCTGGCAGAAAATATATCAATGATAGCAATAGTTTTACATTCCTTTTCTTCAGTAGCAAATCTAAATAGAAATTCCACCTCCCATTTTCTTTTTTTTTTTTTTTTTTTTTTAAGGCTTGCTTTACTACAGGCTTCCTCACTAGTCTGATTTGCATCAGGAGAGCCCACACTCGAGCATCAGTACATGGGAGGAGGACACCAACCACAAGGCAGGAGCAGGAGCAAGCAGGCTGGAGGCAGGGGGCTCACCCAGCATTTGTGTCAAAGGCACTGTTGGCCCCTCCTGTACACAAAGGCTCCACTTCCCAGTCCCCTCTATCCTTGAATATATCAAAATACTGAACTGCTTTGGACTATGATTGGCAAAACAACACTTTAAAATGTTTCCCTGTTACTATTAAAAAGCTTGCAAAAAACAGTCTTACAGTGGTGATAAACAACACTAATAACCAAATAATTTAAGTTACTCAGGAGTTAAAATCCAAAATAATATAAACAAAATGGAATTAAGCTGAGATTTCAATGATTTTGTTCTTTAAGACTCTTTTTCATTAGCCATCAAGCTCTAATATCATACATAAAGTAATTTCTTTCCAAGCTATAGAGACTGCAGCAGATACCAGGAGAGCTATCTGAAAGACAGATTCTGCTATCAGAATTGATGTACCCATTTTTCAGCAAGTTAACTGGAAAGGCTGAACATCTCTACTTAGCATTTGTCTTTGAAAACTGACAGAAAACTAGTCTGTTGAGCACTTACACTCTCAGAACTGCAAACTAATGTTGCCATTGACTATGTAGTCTCACTATCAGCTTTAATCTTACAAGCAAAATGCAAACCAAACTCATTATCATAACTGTTCGGCTGGGTAATAAAAAGATAAACTCTAAAAAAAAGAAAACTGAAATCATCAAACTCATTTAAAGACAAAAATCCCTACAAAGCTAGCAATTTAAAAAGTACAAAGGCAAGGAACAGCAATTGCTAGGCACAACCAAATTAACATCCCAGCTTAACTACAATTTTTACATTTCTTGACCTTTTCCATTCTTCCCCCACAACTTCAAAAGTGAATTAAGCAGGCTTTTGGTTTTTCACATTCAGCTTTCAAGACATACAAAAATATATCCGAGAAGTATTTGGTGTCTTCAAGTACTGCCTGCCAAATCTTCAACATTAACACTACCACTTCCCTGAGGCAACTCAAATGCACTCCTTCATCAGGGGGTGCCTGCAAGGTCCACTGCCATCGACTCCCCCAGCTGCTGAGGAGGGCCAGCTGTGTCCTGGGGACACCAGGCACAGCATCACCAGCTGGGTGAGGGAGAGGACTGTCCCACTCTGCTCCGCGCTGGGACAGCCTCACCTCCACTCCAGGGGACAGTTCTGGGCACCACAATGTTAAAAAGACATAAGGCCATGAGAGTGTCCAAAGGAGGGCCATGAAGACAGTGAAGGCCCAGAGGTGGAGCCACATGAGCAGCAGCTGAGGGCACTTGGTCTGGTCAGCTGGAGGAGATTGAGGAGAGAGCTCACTCCAGCTACAACTTCCTCCTGGGGGGAAGAGGAGGGGCACACACCGAGCTGTTCCCCCTGCTGACCTGCACCAGGACCTGAGGGAACGGCATGAAGGCATGTCAGGAGAGGTTTAGGTTGGCTTCCAGGAAAAAGCTTTTTACCCAGAGGATGGCTGGGAACTGGAACAGGCTCCCTAAGGAAGTGGTCACAGCACCAAGACTGGCAGAATTCAAGGGGCATTTGGACAACACTCAGACATTTGCTGTGATTCTTAGGGTGTCCTGTGCAGGGATTTCATGATCCTTGTGGGTCCCCTTCCAGCACAGGATATTCTATGATTACTTTTAGAGACTCACTCAGATTTACAGCTTCACATAACTGAAGCTTCCTTTTCAAGTTTGCTTTGGACATTTACACGAAATTTTAGACAACAGGTGTGGAGAGATGACAGGCAGCTCAGAAATAGAGCTACTCCAGTTTTTGTGTGGTCCTCTCCGTGGGCTACACTGCCTTAACACAACAGACCTGAAGATGCAGGAGATCATGTCTGGAAACTTGATGATACTCAGTCTAAGCTCACACAGGTCCAGACCCAGACCATAACCCTGCATCATTCGAGTGTTAAACTACTTGTCAGAGCTGGGTTAACATGTGGCCTCTACAGTCTTAAAGGTCTTTTCCATCTAAACAATTACATGATTCTACAGGGACTATCCCTCCATCAGCCAAAAGCAGCCATTCCCACTCCACTGCTCACAGCACAAGCACCTCAGCAGTTTCTGTTTTGCTCCACCAACTCCCTAACAAAGTCACATCACTCTGCTTCTCCATAAAACTGCTCCTCAAGCTGTAAAAGGTGCAAGCAAAGCTTGAAGTGTGGGGTAAACTCAAACAGCAACAAAAAACCAGAGGTAACAGGAACAGCACTTATCAAATCACTCCACACAGTGGAGGCAAAGAGCAGCCACTTGGGCATCTGCAGCTTGAAGGACACTTTTCTATCAGGTAGTGACAGGCTGAGTTTCAGATTCAACACGTGGAGGAGAAACAGATTCAGTCTCAGCATTAGAGATTTTGCTTCCTCTACATAAATGAGCAAGTGAAGACAGGGAATGAAGCTGCTTGTAACCTGAGCTGAAATGCACCTGCTATCTGATAGGACCAATCCTATCAAAATCATTCCCTGTAAAATTAAACCCAAAAGCCACCAGTCCTTTCTTCAGGACAAGGTAGGGTCAAACCTTCTATTTCAAATACATATATTTACAGATCCAGCATAAAATCTGGTAAAGTGTGGTAAAGAATGCAGACTGCATCACAGCAATGGCTTCATAATCAGGGAAGACAAGGTAATTTAATATAAAAAATCTAATGAGCTTCCTACTGAAGTTAGACCATAAAAGTAAAAAGGAGGGCAAGTAAACCTCCCACTACAAATCA